CCCCCCCCCCCCCCCCCCCCCCCCCCCCCCCCCGGACCCCAAGAGCTGGTCGAATGTATACCGAAACAGTGAGACCTAGTTGTCAGGCACATGCTCTTGTCGATGTGTCCAGTGTTTGTATTCCACATGTCCCAACCCCCAGCCCCGTTCTCTCGCTCTTACCCAAGCCACGTCGTTCTCTTGACCCTCAAACACGCCCCCCGAAGGTCAACCCCTCGTCCTGCTACGCTGTTCAGCTGCGCTTTTGCGCTCCGGTCAGTCAGCCAGCGAGCTATTGCCGCTGCTAAGTAGACCCCCATCCCTTTCTCTCGTCGTGCCGTAGGTTGCATGATTTAAAGATATCTCACTCCCTGGCTCGATCACCTTGCAGAAAACAAAAACGGTGACTCCGTTGCAGCCATCGCGCAGATAACTTTCCAAAAATCGGTTCAGGGGTGCATGGTATCTTTCGGGATTAAGGTACAGGCCCCTTTGTTTCTCGACCCACATCCCAAACCCTGCTCATGCCCTTGATTCGATGTGCATCGTGTTCGCTCACTGATCAGGATTGTCATTGCGTCAGAAGCAGCGGATGGATATTCCAAAATACAAGCACCAGGTGCTGCCCGCATCTGCTTGTAATAACAAGCCGTGCCCCTGCCCGCGTCCCCACGAGAGAAGATCTGGGCGGAGGCTCTCCAGCTCACCGTGCCCTTTTAGTACCCCGGAGCCTTAACCTTGGCCCCTATCCCATGCCCTCCACGCTATCGTGTCATTGTACCACCTATCGCCCGTACTCTCTGTCCCACTGAGCCTCGCTATGCTAACCCCTAACTCTTACCGCAGCCATGAAATTTGCCCTTGCCGCAGCTGTGAAATTTGCTCCAACCCTCCACTCTGCCCAACCCACGCTCTTGACCGTACCCTCACCAATGCAGGCGGGCGTCCGAGATGGTATCAACCGAGGGGTCGGCACCGTCCGTCGCACAGGGTCCTGGGTGGCGAGGGAGGGAGGCATAGCCGGGAGAGGCGCGACCCCCCCACCCGCCCCTGCCTCCGTCGATGGCGGCAATAACCCGGGCGGGGGCAGCGGGGATGGGCCGGGCAGGGCGCATCGGCTCCACCCGAGAAGCGGCACCGGGAGCGGGCAGGTCGGGAAGGGGGCGGGCGAGGACGATGTGGACGAGCAGAGCGAGGAAGCTGCGCTCTTGGTGGCTCTCAAGACGGCAGAGGTGTGAGCAAGAAGCACATGCTTGCTCCGGAGTTTATGGTTCACCGTGATCCAGGAGAGAGATGATTAATATATGTAGAGAGCTGTTGATCATGCTGCTATTTAGCGTCGCCGTCTGTTTGTTGATATGCTGTTCGGTCGTGTTGGGCGTTTTATCATTCGTGCGGCTGTTGCTGCAGCAGAGGAGGTGCGCGTTTTTGTCTGCTGCCTTGTTCCGAGCTTCCCGTCAAGAGCACCCCGTTGCTGCTCGCTGCTGCCGTTATTGTCGCCGCTGTCGCGCCTTCCCCCCGCCCGGTGACGCTGCCGCCGCGCGGCAGGCGAATGGGCACACCGCTGTCGCCAAGGTTCTCCGAGGCCGGCTTGGGTTTCTGCAAGGCCAGGCGGTCAGGCTTCGGCTCGCACGAAAAGAAGACAGCGGCGGTGGCGGCGGCGGCGGTAGCGGACCCGCTCCCTCGAGCGATGTACAACCGCCATACGAGGACTCTCCCGACCTAGCTAGCACCCCGGTCCGTGTCGACTAGATCTCAAGAAGTTTTTGTTTTGCTGCCGTCGGTTTCGCGAATAGATGATTCAGTTTGTTTTTTACTGGGGGACCGATAGGCTGCGGGAGGGGGGGCGGGGTCGATGGTGAGCGGAAGCGTTCTGCGGCGGCACTGAAAGAGTTGTGGGGGGGGAGGTGTATCAAGTCCCCAGCTGTTTGGTGCAAGTCTAAAGATCGGCGTTTCAAGCAAATCTTTTGACGATCACTGGGAACTGCGCACGCAGCTATTTCTCTAGCACGTTTTGCTGATGACATTGCAGCAAGATTATGTGGACGTGCGCGTTGTGTAAGGTCGGGTTTTAAGCCTTCCCGCCCATGTGTATGTCCCCCCGTGTGTATGTGCCGCACTTTCCCCGTTTGGATGTAGGTGCACTTTGTCGTGGTCGGTTTATCGCTCTGTGAGACAAAAGAAGCAAGTAAGAACAGGAAAGCGCTCGACGTGTTGAACTCTACGTGGGCAACAACGTAGCCGCTGGTCCCCTTTTTCAGGAACGACAGCCCGCTTACCTCATCCGCCTTATTGTACCGTCGTTGAATATCAACGCCTCAGAACAGCAGTGAGAGGTGCCCACAAGCAATGAACAGAACCCTAATAATATTACTGGAACTTTGTCTTGGCGCCAACACCCCCTGCCTCTGCAGCATCGGCGATCTCGCGCTCTTCGTATCGTTTCTGGAACTTTTGGGCGAACGCCTCCATAGATGTCGCGGCTGTCGTGGACACCTTCGGTTAAGGAGCATGCACAGCGTTTTGGGGACGGTGTTGTTGGCATTCGTTGCTCGATGGTGCACTCTTCGTATCATGACCTTCCCCCTTTTCCTGTGACAAGAGAAGCCAACATTTTCACGCTGTTTATCAAACCAACGTACTTACACTACTTTACATCCACCTCACTCCGGACATGCTACCACACAGCGGTTGCTGGCAGTATCCCCGACGGAACTCGATTTGCTTGTTGGGCCATTTAAGGTACAGATTGTGGAAACGCATGCACCATGTATGCGGAGAGAGAGCAATACTTTTCACTCTTGCCACACCTACCTTTGTACGATCCTCATCTTCGCAAGTCAAGTCCTTCAGGTCTCTGAGGGAACGGAAACACAGTGAATCCACGAGGGCGGACTTGCGAACGTCAAATTGCTGTGTTTTCGGTCTACTGTAAATAAATGATGCTGGAATCGCAAAGAATTCATGCTACGAAATCCTCTCCGGCCGTATGCGTAACATGCCGCTCAACTGCATTCGAGTGAGTGCATGTTCACTCTCGCTCCATACACACCTGACTTTGATAGTCAGAGCCTCGTCGAGTCTGGCCACTCGTTTGATAGCATCATCGCCCTAACAGGGAGACAGGGTTAGGAAAGGAGAAACGATCGCGAAACAACGAATGGCTGAGAAGGCGTAATCATGTCGCCCGTTGGTTTCATTTACCCATGAAGAGGAGCACTTTTCTCCAAAGGTGGATGCCTTGAGCACCATTGCATACCCCTTGGGGTATGTAGGCTGCTGTAGATTGCACGCCTGCGAGACTACATTACCAAACTATCGTTGAAACACACAGCATATTTCGTTCACCTTCGTGTCGGCATCTTGCATGCAGAGATCACTGCCCCATTCTGAAGCATGCTCAAGCAGTCCTCGGATGTCCTCAATGTTCCTCTCTAGAGTCGCTCTGTAAGGTTGCTGATCCATGTCCGCTAAGCGTGCCCATTTGTGCTTCACCCGGTAAAATGGGTGGCATTTCTTGAAGCAATCACAGCAGTACGACCCCGTGGCCGCTCCCTGGAACCTTGAACAGCTGAAACAGACCACACTCGCTGGTGCATTCCCGCAGCGCGCGCAGTCATCGCGCACGGGCTGCCAGCGAGGAAGGCACAGCAGATTCGTTCCAGGTCGTCAGCTAGGTACAGTCTTGCGAACCTTATGGACCAGTGCCAATACTAGAGCGTAGGAGATCAGGAAGAACCCAAACATGCCGAAAGTTTATTGCTGTGTGTAGTTCCAGCCTTCCAAGAAGTTGGCAAGTTGGCACAGTCTTCGCGATCCCTCTCTGTTCTAGACAACGATTATGAGACACAGCAGCACAGCTTCGCCGCCGGGTTTTGAATAATAAAAAAAAATCTACTGCTGTGTCTCCAGAGTTGCTCGTTCAGGTTTCGAGACAACAGCAAGCAAAACTTGCACAGCAGTGCATCGCGACGGTACTGATGGTTCATGTCGCTTCCATAGGATAGACTACAGATCATAGAAGCACGCATGATGGATGGACGTGAAATCGTCCACGTAATAGATAGGACGTTTGCTTTGTGTTTACGCACCTTCCGTCAACTCCTTCCATCGTCGATTCTGAACGACAGTAGTAAACTACCGAAGCACCTACGGTAACACGTACTATGTATGCATTACAGGCTGCAGGAGAGCACGATTTGTTCTCTTACTCTGGGAGGAGCGTGTGCGAAGAAGGCTGAATCGGCGTAAAATCCTGCTGGGTCGGCGTCGAGTAACGACTTGCGTTGTTGGAGTTCTCGACTTTCAGACCGGAGCGACACATAATTGTGGTCCTTTTCTCCTGCCGCAGGGCTCGTCTCTTGCGGCCCCTGTAAGAGTGCTTGGGCCATCGCCTTGAAACAACGGGCGGGCGCCGGACTTTGTTCTTCGGTCCCATCTACTGTCAATCCTCCATCTACGTCTGCTGCTGCTGCTGCTGCTGCTGCTGCTGCTGCTGCTGCTGTGCTTGCGTCCAACCGTCTCTCGCCCATTTGTATTTTCGCTTGCGCGAGAGATCGACCTACAGCGTAGCCCAGAGACCGCCAGACCACAAGATAGGTCTAACACTGTCGTATGTATGCTCGCCGATCGAGTCGCTGCCGCTAGAGCGATGTTGGAATCCCCGTCATTCGCGCTAAGTTTCCAATATTGTGAAGAAAATGCGGCAGGATTGCCGTCGTTTCGGAATTCTTCTGGTAATGGCGACGCCTTGTAGGTGCCGGATTGCCTGATTCACAAGTTCCCTCATGCCCCAGAAGTCGCTCCCACTAATGACTCGAGGCTCTATGTGCTCTGTCTGATGGAATAAAATCATGGGCGCCTCCCATAACACGTGAGCCGGTGAGGACTGTGTGCTGGGAGTGCCTTGCCATCCTCTTCGACGTAAAAACAACGGAAATCAAACTGACTGGTATCCGAGTAGACTAGAGATGGAGGTAACACACATGCCGTTATTCTCCAACGGCAGCATCAAACCAGCCTGCAAGCTTCATTATGAATCTTAATCTCCTTAGATAATATGGTCGCCATTTCACCAGTAGTCCCGCTTTGTTGTTTCCAGTTCCCGCTTCTTCAGTGCAGATTGTCGACGACTAAGAAGAAGTCCGACAGAACAGGCCCTGAACCATTTCATTTCTTGCGTGGTCTTTCCTATAAAAATCCACTGGCAACACACATAAACTGTCGCGCGGTGCCAAGAGACATGAGCCTGTCACAATATCAGAAGCCATCAGAGTCGGTGAAACCATCGCTGCTGTTGTTGACTCCCTCTCTCCATCTATATGTCCCAACCAAACTTCACTCCCTCCGCCAGAATGACTCATCATTATATGTTCCCGCAAGCGACGCCGCAAGCTATCGCAATTTGATGACCTTTCGCTAGACATACATATGCACGTGTGTAATTGCACGTGCAGCGTACCAGATCGCTGTCTGTCATACTCACGGGGTTTTCATCCTTCCCCATGTTGAAAAAACCGCACGACACACGGCCTTGCGCCACTCCCTACAGAAGAGTGACTAAAAATGCTACCGTTCATCCGAGGGCCTCATGCACTCTAAAATCACGTCACCTCGTCCACCCTTCTCCCGCGAATTCCAGCATTTGTGTGACTTGAGTGCAGCCCCACCATACGTGATTATATTGTTTTGGATATGACTCCGTTTGGAACTTGCTCACAAAGGTACGTGCTGCGCACTTCAGCCCACGTGGCATCATGAAACATATATACATATGAGGAACAAGCATGGCTTGCACTCAATGCCGAATGGGTCAACAGCCATGCCATCTCCCCCCACATACCGAGAGACGATGCACGTGATAACGAGACGAGCCCGAATTTTTAAAAACCTAACACGCGGCACAAATTTTTTACCAACAAACTTTTCTGCCTCTCGGTGGTTATTACCATTCGCGCGTTCCGACAACATCTTACAAACAAGATTTTCGATTCCCGCCACAAGCAAAGCGGCTTGTAACGGCATCAATCAATGCCTACATTCATTTTGGCCAACCTTACGGGCGTGCTGGTGGTGAAACCGCGACTCCGCCAAAAGCTTGACCAGCATATCCACGACTGCATACCTGTGAACACCCTACCGTAAACACACAGAAATATGTGCCGCGCTGTGGTCCTGAAGAGAGCATTCACCCAGGGAGGGGGGTAACGCCACCTTCGATCTCATCCTCAATCCCCATGACCTATGTACGGTTATCTTCACGTAGCGCACGTTTTTCTCCTCACACCAAAAAGCACATCCAAGCGAATCCTTGGTCGACGCTCTGATCTACAATTTCACAAGCTTTGCTGCACACCCAAAGACACCCCGCCCCCGGAGTGCTTTCCGTCCTCAGCACATGGCCTAGCCGGTCATGTTCGGGGAATGGAAGACCCTTGAGCATAATCTGATACAACTATCGAGAGGAAGGTGTAACACGAGCTCGCTCGTTGCTGATCTCGCCCCCCGCTGCCAACAATAAAAATAGCCCCTATCTGTGGAGTGATTTTGCTCGCAAGAGACGCTCTGTTGGCATCAGGCGTACACCCTGCATTGTGCTCACGCGGTACCGTACGGAGGCTGGCCGTCCCCCCAAATCGTCTCGCTCTTGCTTTATGATGGCTTCATCGAAGCCGCCTTTGAAGCGTCAACAGAACACGGACACCTTATGGCCAAATGGCAGCCACCGAAGCACGGCAGGCTCCACAAAGGGCATGGACGCAGCACAAAGTGAAAAACGCGAAGCATGGCAGGGCTAAAGCGATGACCGCACGTGAAGAGGAGAAATACTGGACCTCGACCTTCCAGTGGCCATTCCAGGGAGTTCACAACATTTTTCACAGTAGAAATTTAAACAAGAAAAACTGCCCATTGAGAACGAAACTGCCCTGTTCGACGGGACGGGTCAAAGTCACTACCGGCTGTGAGGGTTGCGGGGCACTTGAGCGATGCTGGACTTCTGTACTTCAAGCAAATTGCCACACAAGACGGCAACGTGCCGCATTCGGCCGCCCACCGCGCGCTGGCTGCGCCGTGTGTTGACCCGCAGCCCCCGCCCTTCCCGCCATCGACGGTCCCCGGCCGAGCTTGCGCTATGGCACCTGCGGCGGCGGGGAGCCAGACCCTTGGCCGGAGCAGCCATGTCCTCGGGTTCCCTCATACTACAGTCGCCTCTTGTGCGTATTGCAGGCACCACGCGAAAAAAGCGGCGGCACTCAGAGGAAGCCGAGGACACGGCCTTCCGGAAAGGGTCCGGCTCCCCGCCACCGCAGGTGCCATAGCACAAGCTCGGCCGGGGACCGCTGATGGCGGGAAGGGCGGGGGGAGCGGGCCAACAAAAGGTGCAGCTGAGTGCGATGGGCAACCGAAGTTTGCCGGACTC